TTATACTATAATAGCCTATAGCAAATACTTTATACTATAGAATATAGATTAGAAAACGGAAAGCTTATGGAATTTCTGGGGACACATTAGCGCTAAATATCACTACAGGTTGCCTATTCAATCCCCTTATTTTGTTTAATTTATTTCGATTTTTGTGATAAGATAATTAATTATGATACTATTTAATAAATATAATATACAATACAATATATTAACTATTAAGGCTCTATTATTATAACGGTGCCCTAAATATATTAGCTGTTATATTAATTCAACATTATCTAGCCAGTAATTAACATAGGAGATTATAAAGATACTATATTTAGTCTATATATATGTAAGTATTTTTACTTATATTGAATATTGAAACACTATAGTAGGTACACCAGTGGCGTCATTTCAGTTTTCAATAGAGAGGGCAAAGGTTTTTGACTGCCAACTGGCCCGAATGGGTAAAAAAAAAACAGTTCGCTTCGCTTGCAACCAAGTATTATCTACTTACATTTTTTTATGGTACCCGTTTTATGAACTAGGTAATATCATTTTTTAAATATAAGGTAGCAGATATTTTATAAAAATAATTGTATACCTATATCAGTTAAAACTTAAAAGTCTATATACTATGCCAATATTAATATTGATAATCAAAAATATTATTAGTTTATTAGGCTTAGGCTATCTTCTTTTTTTTATTTTTGAAAATATATCAACTGCATTATCTATAAATCAATTTTATCTGATTCATCACTTATAGCCTTTACTCTATTACTCTTATATAGGTATACGATATATTTACAAATAAATATTATAATATATTTTTTAGGCTCAAGTTTTGTCTGTTAATTAAACATAAGCAGAAATTATTTTCGATTCTTGATCAGTTTCGGTAATTTTATATTTTTAGCCACACCATCCGTTTATTATTTTTTAAAGTCATGTTTTGCCCAAATTAAAAGATTAATGTAAACAAACAAGCGTCCCAAAAAAAATAAATTTTAATTTAGGTAGAATAAGGCACTCAACTATAATATTAACACAATACGCAGAATGCCAGAAATCAGAATACCTATGGTTACACGACTGTCGCAAGTTACCTAACTGAAGTCCGTGATCAATGATAATTAATAAGAGTGCCAATCGGTTGTTGTTTTTAGAATTTGTATTAATTTTAGATTTTAGAAATTAAACTATACGAGTTTAAGGTACTAATTATTATTTTTGTTGTCTATACAACAATATTAACTTTTAACATGTTCATTTTCCTTCACAAAACACACTCACACAAACAACATATACCTACATAAATACACGATTGTCGCAAGTTACCTAACTGAAGTCCGTGATCAATGATAATTAATAAGAGTGCCAATCGGTTGTTGTTTTTAGAATTTGTATTAATTTTAGATTTTAGAAATTAAACTATACGAGTTTAAGGTACTAATTATTATTTTTGTTGTCTATACAACAATATTAACTTTTAACATGTTCATTTTCCTTCACAAAACACACTCACACAAACAACATATACCTACATAAATACATATCCATACATATAATGTGTACGTCCACGCATACGTCTAAATATAAATATATTCCAACTATTAATTAGTAAAAATGTATCATTGGGACAATAATTTCTTAGTACCTTCATAGTTTAATATTTTCTGAAAATATTATAAAATAGGCATGTTTTTGAGGTAATAAAATATAATAATGGTAACACGGCAACTGGGCACCGAGCCCATCGGGCTGCTTTTAAAATCAGATAGGGGCAAATGCAAACATCCCCCCCCCCAAATGACGCCACTGTAGTACAGTACCTTTTTCTACCCGCTATTGAAAAAAAACACAACACCTAGGTACTTTTATTTTATTCAAACAATTTATTTATTAAAAGTACAAACTAAAGTCAGAATGAATTGGTTGCCTTTAAAGCTATAACGAAACAAACCTTTGTTATTGATATATTAATATAATATAGTATATACTATATGTTGTACCAGGTACCTATGGTACCTATACAATATACACCGCATTCATTTTTTGAAAATTTTTTAAAATACCTATAATGAATATTACTGCATGGTTATATAATATGATTAAAATTAAAATATAATAAGGTTACTTATGTATGGAAATAAATACATTATATGAATAAAGAACAAAATTAAAAACATAAATAAATAATATAATATACCTCACTAATACGTTTTTTTTTATTTCTATTTTTCTATGCATATTCTTAAGTAGGTATATCGGTGCACGGTGATGGAAATTGAATTCATATTTTTGCGCTAAATAATTTGTATATTTTGTTTTTTGCATATTAACAGTAAGGGCAGGATAGTTTTCAACAGAAGAGCTTCCCGTGTTCTAATCTATATTATTTGCCAATAGGTATTTAATAGTACATTGTACATTTGTACATCATAATTCATAATATTTTGTTCGAAGTACGAACGCCAATAATTTCATCGATTGGGGCGCACGGCCCCCGGCGGGAATCTAGGATAAAAAATACAATGATTTATTTTTGTGCTAAAAAAATTTAGGTACTACAATTTATTGTACAATGTATTATTATTTATTTTAAAATTGACTACAATTAATATAATTTAAAAAGGTTATAGCCAAAAATAAGCAAAATATTTTGAAAATTAAACTAAGTGAAGAAAATACCAAAATAGGTGTCTTTTTACTTTTTAATACAAAAATATTACACATTTTAAATCCCCTTAATATTATTAGTAGACTACACTAATGGCCGGTTTCACCACTAAGAGTTAAAAGGCGAATTATCGGTAACTCGGAATTAGCACAAAAAAGTAATTTCCCTGGTGATCCTTATTTTAAAAGATTTTTGCTATACGATAATCGGATAATGGTTCAAACTCAAATGAACGTATAACAATTTTCGCCACAGATAACGGCTTAAAATTGTTATCAGAATCTGAAGAATGGTTTATGCTTAGATCATATACTATATATATGTACCATATACTGTACCATATACCATATACCATATACTATACTGTATATGATCTAAGGGTTTATGGATGGTAACTTTACATTATCGCCGATCTAATTCCAACATCTATATTATGTAATACGGATTCAAGTAAAATCAATATTTATTACACCTGTATTTTGCTTATTAAAAAGAAAACCCCAGTCAACTTATGAGCAATAAATTAAAATTTGATTAGAAAAATGTAGTGAGAGGGAAATTTATCTTGATCCTAGTAGTACATGTGGATTTTGAAAAGGCTGTGATTGAAGCATTAAAAAGTACAATTGGTAATCATATCTGCATTAAAGGGTGCTTTTATCACCTTGCCAAAAACACGCATAGAAAAATACAGAGCCTTGGACTTAAAAATATGTATTTATAGGAGTAATAATAATTTTAGTATATTTTGTAGAAAACTCGATAGTCTATCATTTTTACCAGTAAACAAAGTATTAGAGGGAATGGATTTCTTAAGAACAATTATACCACCGGAAACCGGAGGTAATAGATTTGGTAGATTATTTTGATACCACGTATGTCCATGGACCTTACAGAAGTGTTTACTGTAATCCAAATAATGGTATCAGACTTCAAAAAATTCTACCACTCTATCCACTATCAATATGGAATGTCCACCAAACTACCCTCGATAATGGACATCGAATCAACAACCAAACAGAAGGGTGGAACCATCGTTTTTCCAAATTAGTAGGCCACAATATCATCCTTCTATTTGGACATTAATTAAAAAAATGAGGTTAGAGTTATCTTCTGACGATACAAAGTTAGCCCAATTTGCAATAGGCAATTTAAGTAAAAAAAAAAAAAACTTATGAAAACATGCAAGAAAAATTATTTAAAATATGTATGAATATTTGACAGCAGTGGCGTAGCCAGGGGGGTGGCTAAGGGGGCTATAGCCCCCCCCCCCATTGACCGATGTTGACCTTAGAATTTTATCAAGATTAATAAAAAAATTAAAAGCGTAAATAAAAAACACATTGTATTTGTATACTTAGCCCCCCCCCCATAAAAAATTCCTGGCTACGCCACTGTTTGACAGCTATTGCTTACACAATAAGATTATTTTAATTATTTTTTTTTTTTTAATATTTATTTTTTTTTAAATTGTATAATTGTATTAAATTTTAAAATAAATCCGTGTCTTTTTTATACATGGCATTTTTGTCAGTGGCTTTTTTATCCGGATACCGCCAGGCGGTACTATCACAAAACCTGATAATATTATATACCTTGTGATTAGTTTTGTTATGACCATTAATTATGATTATGACAAGATAACTATATACACCTATAAGTTTATTAGTTTATAGGTCTATGGACTATGGTTATGATACATTCAACTTAGGTTTTTGATGATTGTCTTATAAGTTATAGGTAGGTACTCTATATTATTATAATTGTTTTATTAGGCGTTACTACGTTAGTCGATTGTGGAATGCTGTACATAATACTATTCTTTAATCTATGATGTTGCATTAGTAAAGTTTATGACGGCCTACTGCGAAGTGGCCAGTGGGAACACTGGGAATTGGAATGCACAGTGTTTAGTAAATAGCAGTTAGTACATCATTTATGAAAATGGAACGGGAGGTGGGTGGGGGATGTTATTGTCGACTGTGATTGTGGAGTGTGATGCAACGGATACAGAACAACATTCACACGGTGACATTGGAACATCGATTATTAGTTATAACCTATTCAGTTTTTACTATTTACTATATTTGAATATACACAATTCACTACGTGTATAATAATTATTACGAATGTAGACTGCGTGGAACTGCATGCCACTGCCAGTGTTGTTGAGTGTAGACTGGTACAGTTTTACTTGGTAGTTGCCAGTGTGCGGTCTATGGTTGAAGGAGTTTGACGTGTGTCTCAGTAGCAATAAATTAATACTTTTCTAACAGAAGAAGTTAAACATCGCTAATACCTATAGTTATACATTTAATAAAAAAAATAAATAATGTCTAACACTAAAGAGCCGGCTGATAAACAACTCGAAGATTTTAAAAAATCTGTTGAGGTAATAAATTATTATATGACTTTAAAATATGATATTATACTTTATACTAATATTTATTATTTAATTGTGTACCTTTATTATATTAGTGAACTATACTTAGTACCTTAATTAATTATTTAACTTCTTCATTGCTATACCATTATACCCTAGGAGCAAATATAAAAATATATAAATGCATTTGCCTTTTATTTATCATGCTTATAACATTTATATATATGAGTTACCTATATGGCTATACCTACAGTTATAACTATACCTAAATACTTATAATTATCATGGATTAATCTCTGAATTTATTTATTAGTACTTAGGTAAAATAAAATAATTTATAAGGTCATTATGGAAAATGTACAAAATTATTTATCTTATTTTCTTATAATGATTACATGTTTTAATATAAAACTACAAGATCTAAATGGTATACATTTTTCAATGATCAAAATAACTTTTTTCTACATTTTTTTTTTTTTTTTTATTATATTTTTTGCTAATTGTTTTTGTAAAATGTAATAGGTACCTACATCATGATTATTTATTTTATTATTTTTATGTTTCAAGATAGCTTGATAATTTCTGAGTATGAAATAAATGTTTAAATTTATTATTTTTTTTAATATAAGTCATCTTTGATTTTTAAATAATATGAAAATGGCTATGTACCAGGTACCTATTATAAATTATCATTCGAGTAGCATAAATTAACAAATTATGCTACCTAATTATAATTTACAACATATTAGCTGTAAACGGGGTTCTAAAGTTGTTTATTTCAATAATTTACAACCATATTTAATCAAATTTTATATTTTATTTGTACATTTTTAACTTCACAAGATATCTGTTAAAATATAGATTTTATACACTATAATTTAAATAACATTTTCAATTTTATATTTATTGTATATGAATATTAATAAATGTTATATAAATTAATCTATAGAAAGTTCATGTTAATTTATAAACTAACTAAATACCGAGCTAAATACCTACCTTAATATATAAAAATTAACAATTATATATCACATTATAAATAATCTATCATAATGTCTTTACTCTAAAATACCTTATTATGCAAGGCAAATTATAAAATTGTAATATGTTAATATATTTTAATTTAAAACATCATAGACTACGTCATTTTCTAAGCCAGTCATCATGGATTATTACTTTTATCCTTAAACCATTGTTCATTTAAAGTACTTGAAAAGTTTAATATTTATGAATCTGCTGTTTCGGATTTTGATTTGTATACAATAAAATTTTCATAAATATCATCTTAACAATTTACAATAAGAAAAGAGTGGGACTAATTTGTAAAAAATATGTTTATATCAGCTTAAGAAATAGGACACTTCTTAAATTGCATACAAAATCTAAGTAATTGAAAATATGGTCCTTAAGTATCTTTACAAATTCCAAAAATTAGATTTTGGATAAATTCATTATGAAATGAAAAACTTTAGGTGCAGCGTAATTAATGAATCACCAGAATTAGTATATAAATAAATACCTGTTAGAAACTTTTAATATTTAGTTAGGACATTTTATACATAAAAAAATGAAACTAAAAACTATTACATAATTAAATACATTATACATTGGATATATATATATATTATTAATATAATATATTAAAATTAATTTATAATTCATATATAATATGAACATATGTTTTTATAGTAATAATAGTACATAGTACCTACCTTAGGCAAGGTATTAGGCGGTATTAGGTTAGTTTGGTAAAGTAACCAAGACAAATTTTATATCATGAATACTTGTTTAGCGTTACCAGTTTATCAATAAAAATATAAATACAAAATAACTGCTTGTTTTAATAAATATTGTTTTTGTTTTTTTTTAAATTTTAGTTTTATTAAGTTAAATAAATATGTTATATATTTAAATAGGTATACATTTTTGTATTTAATATGCATATAATCAGTTCCAAAATAAAATTAATGTTTTAAGTCCATTATAACCTTTAATTGAAGTATTTATCAAATAAATGTGATTAATACAATGAATAAGAAATTATATACAGCCAAGTCTCAATTATTTGAAAACCTCGATAACTCAAATTGTTTTATTGCCCCTTTGAAGTGTTTTTACTTTTTAGGTACAATATAATTTTTACTTATGATATGACATACTTACTCAGTACTCTTTTATATGCTATATTTTTATTTTATTTTATTACAGGAAATTACCTGTGACTTGAGTTATTAAGAAACAACTCATTATATTGGTGATACTGATAGAATACTATAATAGCTAAATATCTGTAGTCAGGCGCAGATCTAGGATAGTTTTTTAAGGGATATTGTGATAAAATATTATAATTAGTAACCACACACATAATTTAATATATTATCCTTTTTTATTTTTAGTTGACACCAAGGGTGTCCGCAGGGATGGCAAGTAGGGGCAGTTGCTCCTCCCTTGGCTTTTTCTGGGTTGGTTATCATATATTGTTATTGATGATTTTAATGTTCTAAAAAAAACTAAAAAAATGTCCTAACAATTCTAAATAGTGCACTAAATTATTTTTATTTTTAATATTAAAGATATAAATTCTAATATACATTTTAAACTTTTAAATGATTGTAAAAAAGTTTTACAGGCAGAACTTATGATTTAGACTACTTACTTAATCGGAAAATTAGCTATTTTTTTTTCTGTACCTATAGGTTTAGACTTAAGAGTTTAGATCATATATTTATTATAAAAATCATATAAAAACATGTGCAAATTTAAAAATAGAATATTAAATTTAAATTCAGAAAAAACTTCAAAATGCTCTAAACATCTTTAAATGCAAAAAATGACCTTAAATTTAAAATCATCAAAAAATTCAATGTAGGTATGTTATAAAACGAGTATCGCGTAGATTTTTAAAACAATGTAAAATGCATTATAATCCCAACCTCAATCATTACTGTTGTAATATAAAATATCGCAAAATAAACTTTTTTTAAATTAAACATTTTTTTTTTTACAGAATGATTTTTATTACACTTGATTCAGAGTCAGAACTAAGAATGTTGTTTTTATAGACTATGAGATGTAGTGGTGGGACCAAGTGCAATACTTCAGTGTCAACCAAGTTTTTAGTTTTTTTGTTTGACCTACAATAGCTACAATTTTATAAGTTTGTAGTATCAACGACTGAATAAGCTAGAAATATTTAATTTTATAAATTACCTAAAATTATAAAACCGTGGTAACATTTTATCTATTAAAAAATAATGTATTTGATAGTTTAAAATTACATAACAATTAATTAAAACTAATGCTGTAAGATTAAGTTTTAACTAACTATACCTATGTACGTATAATTCATAAATATTTTTACATTCCTTGTCTATATGAAAGAAAATATGTCACAAAAATACTTGATAATTAATAAGATAGTGAGACAAAAAATGTAAAAAGGAAAATATTTTGCCCTCCCCTTGACAAATTCTTGCGGACGCCCTTGGTTGACACTTGCCAGTTTCCATACAAAACAAAAATATTAATTTTTCTTCATTTGTATCTATATAAAAAGAACTTAACAGAATTTATAAACATTTTACTTAAAAACTATTAATTAATAAAAAAAACAAATTTATTTTGAGGAATCTTCCAATTTTATCCTTTAAAGTTTTTTTCTTGGAAAATAAGTCAACAATTTGATGAAGGTCAATCAGTATATATTTATGTATAACCATTTAATCGTGCAGCGTGATATTGTCATTGTAGAAAAAAAATAATTTTTATGTCTTCTTAAAGTTGAAAATTATCATTTGGCTGTAGCTTACTGCTTTACAAGGCGTTTCTCTATTTTAATCTATTTCTAGCTCTTCTAGTTCTAGTGTAATTAGAATGAATGCATATAAGTCATGAAATATATTGAAATGTAAAGATAGAGTCATGTCTTTTAAATCACCGAGTGGCACACAATATTTTTAGTTTAATTTTACTAATGAATAATAATGGTTAATTATATACATATTTATACAATATGTGTAGGTATATATAAAAAAAAAGATCAAAATGGCTCAGGGAGGGTGCTATAGGCCCCCGCTAGATTCGCCCCTGGCCATCTTGATAACTTGTTATTATCCACCGACCACTAAGTCCCACGATTACTAACTTTTAGGTATTATATTATTTTCTTTTGCGTTTTGTCCTTCTACCTCGTTGTGTTAAGCAACAGATTTGTTAGACCGTCAACTAAAATATAAATGGTGCTGGACAATTTAGAACACAACAGGAAAATTAATTTGATGTTTTATAGATTTACGTAGAAACAACATAACAATTTATAATTCATTAATATAGTTGATGATCGTCAACCCCTATATTATATTAAATACATTTTAGTTTAATAAACTGTTATTGATCTTTAATCAGTAGGTATTTGGTAGATAGGCGATAGCTACTAGCAATAGGCAATGTAGCATACTACACCAAAGAAGTATCAGTAGGTAGCATACTACATGATCAGTGGTGTTCAAAGGGATTTTCTATGGGGGGGCGGATGGAAAATTTCGTTGGGGTGGCACAACAAAACTGTTGAGTAATAATACGGCCAATGGGGTTTAAACCCCACGACACACCCCCCACCATAGGTACACTAATGTACATGACTACATCACGAGTGCCTGTGTTTGAGATATATAACTAAAAAAATACATAAATCAAATTAATTTTTATTTCCCTTGAAATACGAGACTTGACTGTACAAAATAGGTATGAAAATAATAATATGATGTCATTAATTACTAATTAGTGTAATTAAAAATTGTGTAACATGTTGCAACTTGCATTCTTGAATTGTTACGATTATGTTGCAATATTTTGTCTATATTTAGAATTTACTATTTTTCCTTGTTTACAAGAATCTTAAGAAAATTGTTTTATTTCAACATTTATGAAAACTAATCAAATTAAAGCAACAAATTGAATTAAAATAAATTCTAACGACAACATTGATCTGTAACTAAAAAAAAAAAATG